GCGTGGTGCAAGTTGTTCTGTGCAAGGCATTCCCCAGTAAGCCTGCAGACCTCAAGTGCGACTCCAACCTTGGAGCGGAGCGGGCTGATCGAGGGGCGGGGTGCAACCCTAAACCCTGGAGGGGGCCAGTCGGGGTGGGAGGGGGGAAAAGGGCTCGGTGCAGCGCTTCGTGCTGCTTCGCACGGCTGGGCACGCCAGCGTCTGCGTCCTGCGCCCGCTGGAGTGCGTGCGACCTGCACGGCGGCTCCGGCGCGCAATGCAGACGCTTTGCCCGGCCCCCATCCGCCGCACCCAGCGACAGCCTGCGGCCGCCCTCTTCGGTTTGCGCCCAGCGCCCTGGCCCGTCTCATCCGTTGCGTGGTGCGCGGCCGCGCTGACCTGGCATGACCTCTCGCAAACCGTCGATTCGCAGGGGCGGAGGGGAAGAGGCTACAAGCATGATGGCAGAGATGGAGGGCGCCGGGCGGCACCAAGAAGACAGCGCCGCCGCAGGGGCCCGCAGCTTCACGTTTGACCGGCCTGGCGGGAAGGAGGACGGCGGGTGATCTGGCGACCAGGCGGCCTGATCTCACGCAACCAGGCTGGGTGTTCCTGTTTTCCTGCAGCGAGCTGTCGGCCCCACCAGTTGGGGGTGTCCGGCTGCCCGGCTGCTTCGGGCGGCGAGGGGCGGGTTGGGCCGCGCACCGCTGCGCAGCCGTTTTGCGCAGGGCAGGGCTGTATCCTGTGCCAAAATCTGGCAGGTCGCTTTCGTTTGGGTGCGACTGGTGGCATTGCCGTGGGATTTTTGGAAGTGTATGGATCCGCCCAATGTGAATCTTCTGAATTGTCCTCGTTTCCTCTGAATACACCCCCTCATCCTGATGGTGCTCTTTCGTAGCCAAGCACTGTTTGGCATCCACTCGTGTCTTTTACATGAGGAATCCCATGAGCAATGCTTGTTGTGTAAATCCATGCTCTGGCTGTGCCAACTGCGTGCGGCGTCAGTAAAGCTGTTGGGCCGCTGTCCGGCCAGCACTGCATGCGGCTAGAAACTCTTTGATATCCGCATCTGTAAGGTTGGCAGGGTCTGTGGTGGATGGGCAGCAGTATGTCATGTCTACAAGTGTCAATTGCTTTGCTGAGGGGAGGAGAGGGTGTTCGCCCCATGCTGCAGGTCTCGGACCATGAGTCTTGCTGTGTTTGACCACGCTCCTGCAATTTGGGACGGGCCCGAATTTGGTGCTTGCTGAGCACATAAATTAAAATAAGCTCACATGACAAGTATAAGGGACCCTGTTGTCACGTTCTGCATCAGTTGGAGCGAACCGTGCCCGTCACGCACTCTGGTGCCACGGTAGGCACCCGTGTACTCCTTGCTCAGAATGTCCGCGACTCTCACTGGTAACAATAATTTTGCAAGGTGTACCCACATGATGGAAGACCCCGATCACGCAATCATTTGCGAAGCTTACACGGCTTTTCGAAACGAAAAAGGCGACGAAACAGCGCAACAGGAATCCAGAGACCCTCTGGAACCAGACCACGATGAATTGGCAGCAGCGGGCACGGGGCAACCGGCGCGCACAGGGGTGCAGCACACTGACCAGCAGCCACCTCGCCAGCCGACGCCGCAGCCGCCAACGCGCGGCCCGCTGCTGCTGTCGCGCATAGCTGGTGTGCAGGAGCTCATCAGGAAGCTGACAGATGCCACGGCCCCCGACGGCCCTTCGGCCCGCGGCGCCGTGGCCGAGGCCGCCGCTGACCTGTCGTCGTCCGTAGACCTGGCCTGTTTGCCAAACAGGCCGGCCTCGGCCGACGAGGCGAGGCACCTGCCGGAGGGCTGCCAGCTAGGCGCCCACAGCGATCGGCAGCAGGCCGGCGACCCGGAATTCGGCTTCCACGGTTCGGGCAAGGCGTCCGCGGCGCTGCTCTTCACAGGGGGCTCCGTCGTGCTGGAGGGGCGGGTGTGGCACCTCTTCGCCTTCGCCTGCGTCGACGGGCCGTCCAGGCGGCTGCTGAAGCGCGCGCGCGACGAAGAGCGCGAAGCTCCCAAGTGGCGCCGCCGGCGCATGGGGGCAGTGATTAGCAGCTGCGGCAACCTCGACGCCATCGAAAACTGCCGGCGCAAAAAGGCGGACGCGCCCGCGCCCGCGCCCGACGAAGGCGTCGCTGACGCCGCGCGGAGCAGTGGCGTGCCCCTTGCAGGGGCCGGCACGCCGCTGCCGGACGGCTTTTTGGCGTGGGATGACGAGCCCTCAGAGGGCGCGCCGGCCTGCGGCGTCGGCCGAGTCGTGGCGGTGCGCTACCACCCTGACGGCCTGCCGTCTCAGCGGAACTCTGGCAACATAGACAAAGTGGATCAGGACTACAGAGTTACGGCCCGCTTCCTGCTGCATCGCTACGAGGACGAGCTGCAGAAGAGAATGTGCGAGCTGGAGGAGCTGGGGAGTCAGACCGCGCCGCCCCCGGCGGCGCCCGAGGCAGCGGGGGGGGGGCGGCGCCGTCGCTGGCAACGTTGGCAGGGGCCGCGGCCGGCGCGGCTCTGCAGCGTGGGGTCCAAGCAGTCCCTGCGGCCTGCCCCGGTCCAGCTGAGAGGCTCATGCAGGAGCAGCAGCAGCAGCAGCGGCAGCAGCAGCAGCAGCAGCCGCCAGCTGGCGCCGCCGCTGGTGGGCTGCTCGTCCCAGCGGCCGCCGCCCAGCCGGCGGCGCCTTACCCGCCCCCGCTGCCATTGATGCTGCCCGCGTCGGCGGCCGTGACTGCAGCGATGGGCGCGCTGCGGCCGCCGGTCGTTCCGGAGCAGCGCGACATCGGATTACGAGCTCCAGGCGCTCCTGCAGGACGCCTGGGCCTTCCTAGCGCAGCAGCACCCCGAGGCGGCCGCGCCGGCGGCGGCGGCGGCGGCGGCGGCGGCGGCGGCGGCGGCAGAGGAAGCTGCCTGGTGGTTCTGGCTGGTGCTGTGGGCGGGTGCCGACATCAGCGTCGTGCGGCACGCGGCGGAGGTGCTCCAGGCCAGGGGGGTGCAGCTGTCGCAGCTGCGGCACCCGTTTCTGGAGCGGACGGTGCTGCACGTGCTGTGCACGCTGGACTTCTTCTGGTGGGTGCCTTTAGACGCGTTAATCTCACGTTGGAGGCTCCAAGGAATGTCTCGCCATGCGCGCTCTGTCATGCTGGTCTCGATTCGATCCGAACGAGGTTAGCCGCTACTGCCCCAACCCCGACAGCGCGCCGTTCCATCGTCGCCGGCTCGGGAACAGCCGGCATCAGGCTTGGGCTGTTTGCGTGAGGCAGCCCGCCTCCCTCTGACTGCGGGGCGTGCAGCGTGCCCTGCAGGATGGTCTCTGTTCCATAATACATGCTCCCATCACCGCGTGCTTACGCGCAGGAATGCCCTGCCGCCACTGCCGCCAACGGGCCGCTGCGAGCCCCCATCCGGCAGCCTGCTGCTGCGCCTGCCACGCCTGCCGGACGCTGCGCGGCTGGCGCGCCTGCAGTGGCTGCGGCTTGAGCACCCAGACCAGCTGAAGGCTATGCGCCTGGAGCCGAATGCCAGCGGCGCGGTGCCGGCGTTCACCGCCCTGCACTTCTGCATCCCCTGCGTCGTGATATGGCTGGTCACTGAGTTCCAGTTGACGATGCCGGAGCTGCTGAGGCCCACCAAGCGCGGTGAGATGCTGGGCGGGAGCGTCAAGGCTGGTGCTGCGGCGCGCCATGTGCCGCAGTGCAGCACTGATATTTGGTAGAAATCTTCCACAGCTTGTTGTTTATTTGTATGATCTGTAGCATATCTATAAGATCTTTCTCGTGTTGCCAGGCCTGTTCAGGTTCCACATACAGGCGAAGCGCGGCGCCCCCCCAAGCTGAAACGAGCGCACCCCAGCACACACACTGACACAGGTCATGAACATCCGCTCTTGTTTTTGACCACGCACTCCACATGCACCTCTATCTCATGCCCCGCCCGCTCCCTCTTGCTGCGCCCGCAGGCAAGCTGCCACTCCTGCAGATGAGCTCCGAGGCGGCCAGGCTCGCCGCGGCGCAGCCCGAGGATGCCCGCGCGTCAGACTACGACGAGTGCGCGCTGCTGCTGCTGTCGGCGCTGCCAGGCATCGCGGCGCGCCACGCCGCCCGCAAGGTGCCGGGTGAGGGGGACCCGGAGGCCCTCATGCAGCGCGCTCTGGGCGGCCCGCGCGTGTGGGGGTCCAGGACGGCGGGCGCGGCCCACTACGACGACGACCTGCTGATGCAAGCGCTGGCAAAGCTCGGGGGCGGCGGCCCTCCTGGCCAGGGGGCGGCCGGCTCTGGAGGCTCGCAGGGCGGCGGGGCCGGGGCGGGTGTGAACCAGGAGTTCAACTCAGCCAAGTTGGCTGAGCTGCTGCGCAAGGCGCTGACGTTCAAGGAGACCGCTGCCCTGCCCACGGTCGCGTAGCGCAACACACGTGTTGGTGCGGCTGAGGTTTGGAGGTTGCCTTGAGCCTGCGCGAAATTCACTTGCATGTCGACTTGCACGAGGTTTGCTTGCAATGGACGGCACAAGCGGGCCGTCGAAGGCTGGGCGCGTGGCCGCCCGGGGGTTTGCGGCTGCGAGTGGCTGGCAGGGGCAGGGGCAGGCTGTAGGGGAGTCTTGGATACATTTTATGATTAATGCAGAGCCTCAAGGCACACAATTGATCGACCGCCGCGGCAGCGGCGGGCCGCGTCCTTGATCGTGCAGCACAGCAGCACTACCTGTCTACTGGTACATCCTACCATCGGGATTTTTCTGCTGCCATGGCGGCAGCCTTTTCGCCCCACGCCACCAAATGTCTAGGTGGGACGCGTCATTTGCCGTAGCATGCCTCTCAAAATCCCCATGTGTAATGCAAGGGGACCTGGGCAGACATGATCAAGCCTCGCATCTCAAACCGGGCACCATAACCTTGCGCATTGTACCCCACAGTGCAGGCCGGCAGCATGTTTTGCTGGCCCAGACAACCAGCTCGTGCAGCCTGCTGGCAACCGTGTCTGCCAGCTCAGCGTGGGTGGCCACCGCGGCTGCGTCCCGTGTGGAGGGTTCAGGAGGTGACGGTTTGCGGCAGCGGCATCACCTCATAAAAGCGAGTTCCCAGGGGGCTTGGCGTTGCTGGCGATGCGAGTCAACTGCTTTGGGTGGCACAACTTGAAGGGGAATGTGCGAGTATTAGACCTCAGGGTGTGGCAGGTGGCCGGCAGCCAGGCATGCATGCAGGTGCATCTGCATCAAACGATTTCGATCCGGTCACCAGGACGCAAGGGTGATGGTGACCGAGTTGTGTACGAGAGTCTCCAAACGGCGAGGGGGAAGCCCGCCAATGGGTGTGCGGTGTGAACCGTCGCGACGCCCAAGTTTGATGGAAGGAACAGTCACTCTTTGGAAGGGGGCCTGCTTGAGAATAGCGCTCGGCCGCCCCCACCCAACCGTCATCGCCAATCATGCCTCCAGGAGGCTGGGGGCATTCTGCGGGAGTCCATTTGGCATGGTGGGCTAAGCTTCAGGGCCAACCTCAAGCAAGGGGCCGCTGCAGGGGAAGGAATCCCGATTATAGCGGTCAAGGGATTTGGAGTCGTCCGCCCCACTGCTGCCCCTGCTGCTGCTGCCGATCCTAAGCGGCATCTCACCTTATTCCACAAGGGCCTGCGCGTGTTCTTGAACCGCTGGGCCTGGAAGGATCACAGGATGCCCGCAGATATGCCACACCGCGTGCCGCTTGTGTTCGGAGCCCGATGATTGCATTGCTCTGTGTTGTCATTTGGCGGGGGGCTTGACGGAGGTGTCGCAAAGCTGCTGGCTGGCTGATCCTCCAATCGTCACATCTGAGGCTGTTGGACGCTGGCACCCCGCCCCCCCAAAGACTGCGTCATTTGCGGCCATTGGCGCCGACAACGCGCATGTGATATGCTGCACCAGTTACTCACATGATGATCAATCGTATATCCGATCCGACATGGGTGTTGGTGCGATTCGTTGACGCCGCAGTCGTACCATACCATATTTGCGGCTGTGAATGAGGTGGTGATCTACGGACAGACTTTTCTATTGACAAGCAATAAGAATCACACCGTATGACTCGTTTTAGATTCAGCTGCACCTCTGTTCCCATTGCCGTCTTTGGCAGCTGATCTTGAACAACATTTGTTGCACCCGTGTCCCTCTTGGTACCAGGAGTAAATCGTGTCGAGCCGCACCTATAGGATACTATCTGGTTGCATTGGCCGCTCGCTCACACTTGCGCGTCGGTGAAAAGCCCCGCAGCGCGTGGTAAGGGTGGTCGCGTCGACACCACCGCGGCCGGCGGCCGAACCACGGACTGCGAGCGCAGGCTGCGGAGGGACTGATAACATCAGCTGCAGGCGCCGGTCCACGCGATGCAGGCGCCCGGCGCGCTCGCGCGGCCGCCACGGCTGCGGACGACGGCGGCGCCACAAGCACCATGGGGCGCGCGGCCCGCTGCCCCGGCGCGTGGCTGGGGGCCCGGCACCCTCCTTACAAAATCAATCAGCAGGCGCTGCACCGCGCTACGCCGCTGCGCAGCGGCATCAACAGCTGCTGCCACACAGCATCAGCTGCAGCTACAGCCGGCGCTGGGCCGCTGTGCATCAGCGGGCGCCCTCGAAATTGGGCCCACCCAGCAGCGGCCGCGCCACGCGCACACCGTACACCAGCGGCAACAGAAGCAGCAGCTGCCCCCATTCCTGAACCTGCAGCGCCCGCGCCGCTGCTCGCACGCCTGCCGCGCCGCGTGGCGGCCGCCCGGCGGCGGCGACGCGGGCGGCGGCGACCCCGGCTCGGACGGCGTCCGCCCCGACGCGTTCGGCCGCACCCCGCCCCCGCGGCCGCCGTCATCTTGGTCAGACCTGCCTGACCCCTGGGAAGCCACCGCCCGCGCAGCTTCCGCGCAGCCGCCGCCCGGGCCCGGCAACGGCGGCAACGGCAACGGCGCGCCGCCGCCGCCGCCGCCGCGGCGGGGGCCGGATTACGAGATGACGGATTGGGGGTGGGACGCGCCGGAGCAGGGGTGGGACCCGACGGAGGGGCTGTCGCCCGAGCAGCTGGCGGGGATGCAGGCGGACTACGACGCGTATCTGCAGCGGCAGCGGGCGGCGGAGAGTCCGCCGAGAGACAAGTGGATCACGCCGCTGTTGGACTGGCAGGTGTGTGGGGGGTGATATCATGTGTGTG